AGAGAAGCTTTTCCTGTTCTTGTTATTCTCCCTACATGACAGTCCTGCTTGAGCTGATATTGCCTTTCTGTTGGAATAAATGTACTTAAAACTTTGCCAACTCTTCTCATCTATGGATCTCAAAATTCTTGATCAGCATTTCGCCAGGGAGCCCAAGCCCATAAATGGGTGCTGAAATGCAGTTGCCTCTAGGATCGATCGCAAACTGCAGGCTCCCCCATGTTGGCTGTGCAGTAGTTTTGACCTGTTTTATCATCGTCTTTCTTCTGGAAAATGGCACTTTTTTCCACAGAGAACTGGTGGAACTCATTTCATGCAAGTTCCTTAGTCTCTATGGAGAAAATCCCTCAAGAGAAGTAAAGTCACAGAATTCATTTAATTCAAGCTAGTACTGCATGAAAGATCAGTTTTTAACTCCTGTACTACCAGCTTTGAATCGAAGTTGGCTAAGCAAACCCACAACGAATGGAGCTGGGGTAGATGTCCACAGCCCGGGGCACCCAGCTCTTAGGGCAGTTGAGTTCTTGGGAGGCTGCTGCATTCCAGTTGCGTTTTGTCCTTCCGGAAATCCCCTGGGTTGCTGGGTTCTCTCCTATTAAATTTGAGAAGAACTTCTGTTAGGTATCCGTTTTTCCTTCTGTTCATCCTACTTCTGTTTTTCTTTCTTTCCAGATCACCAGAAACTGGAGCGAGAGGCCCGAATCTGCCGACTCTTAAAACATCCAAACATTGGTAAGTATCTCAATGAGAGTGTGGCCAATTCAAGCATCTAACAAGTGTGTGATGTTTGCTAGACTTCTGAGCTTGGCTACTGGATGCTCACAGCTAACCTCTGCAAAATTTTAGCCATATTTGCATAGTGTGATGCCATAAGTTGCTCTTTCTTTCTACAGTTCCTGTGCACAGAACTATTTACGATGCTCTGTGACACTGGAGAAAAGACCTGGAACCCCTCAGTCCTGGTATATACACTTGTAGCTCACAGAGGTGCATTGTGCACCCCTCCATTCTTGTACAACAAACTGTCCTTGATTTTTGTGGCATGGTGCTCTGAGTCCGTTTGGCATCCTGCACCAAGGGCAAGTTTCTGTTGTATCCTGCTTCTGCATCCTGGCATCTTTTTCTGAACACCCACTGAAAGCTGTATTCAGTAAGATCTCCCATTAAAGCACAGTGGATTGAGCTCTTGGCTCCTGTCAACGTGGTGGTCACAAGCTCTGAAAACAAGAGAGCCAGTACTTTGTTTCCACTCTTGAAACTGTTTTTTTTGTTGGGTTTTTCTTGTGTGTGTGTTTCCAAGTGTCACTTGCACGTCGTCTGTTTCCATGGATATGCTACATGCAGGTTTATTTTCTCTCCCAGAAAAACAGAGGGGCAGAAAGAAGTGCCCACTCTGAAAGCTTTGGTGACAAGCTAAAAATAAATGATGGAGCCACAGGGACAGCTCTGACTTGAAATAAGAGGAGGGGAAAATTTAAGACCCAATTTCTAACAAAAAAATACATTATTTACTAAATAGGAGAAACAGGAGCAGGATTGTGTCCTGTTCCAAAAACCCATGGAAACTTGCCCAGCAGTCCCACTTCAGTGAAATTTGACATTATTTACTAGAAACTGCCTTGAACAGAAAATGTGGACCATGTTCTCTGCTTCTGTTTTTTCTTTAAAAAAAAAAAAGGTAGGGACTAGCTAGAAACTAAACTGGGGTGCCTGTTTCCCTAGGGAAGAATAGTGAGTAAGTAACACCATTCTGCCTCTTTCAAGTATATGACAAAACTACTCTAGGTACCTCTGCTGCCTGGTAGACCTGTAGTAGAAGACCTGGCTCTGTTGCCTTCATACGGAAGGCCTGGGTCTGCAGTCATCTTAAGAGAGGTTGCATCTCCTAAGTGCTATATTTAGCAACTCTGGAAACTTAAAGCCTCAAGTCTTGGTCCATGGGTAGCAGCCATGTACTTCAGCCCTAATCCAGATAGATTGGATGTTTAGTTCAGGTTTTGTGACCCAGGCAGCCCTTTGACCTCCTTGCTAACATTGTTAATCACCATCCTGTTGGTTTATATTGCATATTGCTGTAGATCTATATTCAGTTAAAAAGATGTGTATCCAAAGCTTTTAATTCCTATGGCACTTTCCAAAAATAGACCTTTTGTCTGAAAAGCCAGGAGAAGGATGCTCTCCTACTACATTTATAGTATATTCTTTTTGTAAATATGTTCTAGCCCCCAACTTCCTCCCATCCCTGCCCCACCAAGGGCTTGGGAGTGGAGTTGAGCTTTGAAGCGTGTTCTGAAGGCCAGCTGGTGTATGCTATTTCAAAGGCAATGAGCAGTTCCAGTAGTCAGGGCCCTCAACATGCAAAACAATCTGCCATGAGTGTTCAGGTAAGTGTGCTATTAATTGCAACCATACATGTATGGCACTGAGAGAGAAGTAGTGACCCAAAGAGACCATTAGAGTTTCTCTACCTTGAGGAAAAAGCTACAGTCCAGGGGGATCTCCTCTAGGACACTTCAAAATGTGGCATTTGTTACTATTCTCCCACTGGGCTTTATTAGTACTGATAAATAAACTGGCCTGTATTGGTTCAAGGTATAGTAGTGTAATAAGGTGCTAACACTCATGTTAGTAGTTCACTTCCAGATTTCTTGAGACCCAAAAGTTGTTGGTTGGTTATTTGCATGCTGGAAATTAGGCAAGAGATGGTCATGCTGTCATTTTCTTTTGGTCTTAAATTTCTCTCTTTCCCAGTCCTCTCTCCTCTTAATTAATTCCTACATCTCTTCTTGTCAGGCCTCTGCAGATTAAGTATTGCATGCAAGGACAAGAGCATTTTCTGAGTGGATCTGGCTGTAAATGGAAACTGAGATCCCGTGAGCATAGGTAGTTTCTCTCTGCAGCTGGAACCCAATATTGAGGTTACTCAATACCTTGTCTGGTATTGGATGTGTCTTGGTCTGTAGTCCATGACTTGAAGTATGGAGTTTTAGAAAGGAAGATGGGGTTGAAAGGGCACCTATAAGTCATGGCCAGCAGTCTCACTTAAACTCTGAAGGAAATGCACCATTTTTCCCCTCCTGGGAAGAACCTTTAGTTGCTTTAGGTATCAATTTAAATCAATGTGGCTGTCCCAGGTCATAGAAAGGTACCCTCTAGGTGCTGTCAGCTCTGAATCCATTATTCTGTAATGTGCCTAGCATGAAAATTTCTGCTTATTGCAGTGCGTGAGTGTGCACTGTGCTAGTGATACTGCCCAGCCACCAAAGAATTATGCAGATTGGAGCTTGGTGACAAGAAAAGATTTAAATTATTTTTGAAAATCCTGTAACAACATGTACTGAGATAATAGGGAGGACTGGTGCCTATGATCTGCAACACAGTTGCTGGTAAATTATTGAAAGGTAAACGTTTGTCCCAGATGTAATTGGCTGTCCCTTTTCTCCTGGACTTGTGGGGCATGCAGTATGCTAGTGGCTAATTTGCAGGTCACCTGGTCTGGCATAGCAACTCCAAAGTGTAAAACCATAATTGCAGCACTTCTGTTTTACTTAAATAGGTAACAAAAAGGTTATTTAGAGTACAAAGCAGTGCTGATGGTGCATTTGATTTTTATTACGTTTCCCTTGCTGTCGCTCTTTTCATAATGACCACCTAGGGATTTATCCTGAAATGCCACCACCCAGTCTCAGCCCTAATTATGGGCTATTGCTCTGTAATTAGCTGTTTTGACTGTTTATGGATGCACTGGGGCCAAGGTAATCTCAATAGTGTAATCCTTTTGGAGGTTTATTGTTACAGTGCAGTTATTCCTCGATCCAGAGATGTTGGCATCCTCTGGAGGGAAGAGACTTATCTTGAGGCAACTTCCAGAAAGCCCTCATTTCCAAAGGCAAATTACTTGTAGGCAATATGTAAAGTGCTCTCAACTGGCTACCATCCAAATGTGTCTGACTTGAGTGCAGCATTTCAGACCTTATTTTCTTTGAAGTAGGGAAAATGTGGTCTGGGATTTTCTTCCTTAACCCTTCAGTTTCATTCCTCACAACTTTGTGCTGACCCTGAGTGGCAGTAAACTAAAGTCCAGTGGAATGGGGATCAGGTAAGGACCCATCCACTTTCATGTACTGTTCCAAAAGGATAAGAAACAACATAGCTTTTACTGCAGAGGTGGAAGTACACAGGAGGGGAGCAGTAGGAAACTTGGCCCTAATCATGTCATTTTTAGGCAGGCAAAACTCATATGGCAGTCCATGAGAGCTTTTCCAGTGTTTCCAAGGTAGGTTCTGCTCCTTTAAACATTCATACTCAAGACGGCTTTTATAGAGCTGTGTATTGCTTTTAACACTCAGAAAGCTTTTTGGCTTCTTTGGAAACCATAGGCAAGTGTTTTTACATAGTGCATGGACAGCCAGATACTACCTCTTGTCTTGTAGTTTGAACTATAGCAGGGGTGGGCAAAATGCGGCCTGGGGGCTGGATGTGGCCCGCCAGACCATTCTATCGTGCCCGCGAGGCCCCTAAAAAATTTAGAAAGTTAACATTTATCTGCCCCTGGCTGCCTATCATGCAACCCTCAATGGCTTGCCAAAACTCAGTAAGTGGCCCTCCGCCCAAAATAATTGCCCACCCCTGAACTATAGAATCAAGCTTCCATAGGCATAGTTATAGTCAATCCATTCAACAGGGTTAAGCAGGCTATTCATTGCTAGGATAAAATGCACCTTTTATTTTTCTTGTCAGAAACCAATTCAGTTAGTTCAGCAGTGTAGTTGCTTTTAAGAGTCTCTTAATTTAGTTGCTATCCATACTGTCCTAGAGAGGTTTGAAAACTTTCCCTTGGCATCAGTACAACTTTTGGGAGGCTTGAGAGCCCTAGTGTCACCAGAACAAACATATTCTCTATCCTTGCTTCGGTTTTTTAACTACAGATAGCTAAACATGGCCTTGTCTGTACAAGAGCACCCAAAGCTGCAGTGGCAGGAAATGTGAGGGGAAAAAAACCTTGTAGATGGAGCAGCAGTCTTGAATTGCACCTGATTAATCAACGAATCTCAACATCTGTAGTTTGAAAAGTTTTTCCCCTTGCTTCCATTTCAGTGCAGGAAGAATATCAATTCATTTTCTTATTTTATTGCCTCTTGTTCTACAAAAGGCAAGGTGAGGTTTGGGGTTTTTTGGCTTTTTGTATGTGTTGTTTTTTTTATTGTAGCAACCAATCAGTTGGCAGAGATGTTGGACAAGTTTGTGACATGAAGAAAGGGCACTTTGTGCCCCAAAGCTTGGTCGCTATCTCTGCCCAACTATACAGATGTCCCAATAAAATGTCATAAACCTTTTGTCTTGTACATTTTCTATACCTTCATGGTAGAGGAATGCAAAAACACCCCAACAGTATTTGTTCTACAAGAGTTAAGCAATTGGATTTTCCCTTGTATTCCTAGATCTAAAATATCTCACTCAGAAATTTTTCCCTTCCTTGATTTCATTCTTAGTATGCCAGCTGATGTTCTTTTGTTTGCTGTGCTGCTCTCTGAATACAAGTAGATTGTCTGCCTCCTGTTAGACATCACATAGCCAACAGCCTATAGCTTCTTTGCCCATAAAGTAAGCCCAACCTGATTTTGTTTTGACATTCTTTTCTGTTGCTAGCTTTTTTGCTCACTGGCCTGCAGAACAGAATTCATTAGGAGCTACAGCAAAGCACATGTACATGTCATGTCATGTGTGGGCAC